TGGGGTTCCAGTGTTTCTGAAAAAGGAATGAGACGTGGCTATTTGGAAATGCTTTGTTCCTTAGCAACTGGTCCTTATTGTAGTGGTTATGCCGACGAATTTCTTTCACGTAGTTCCGAGCAAAGTAAAGGTTGGTGTTCATGGCGTACTTTAGTTAGTACTATCGATATTTATACACGCGACGAGAATGATGAAAGACAAATAGTAAAAGATGAGGTTATGCTAATGCGAGTGACGTTATCTTCAACTATACTTGTTCGCGAGTAATCTGTAAATTTCACGTTTTAATTTTAAATACGCATTTTAATATGTTGGATTTCACAGAGTGGAAGCCTAATAAGTTTCAAGCATTGCGAGAACAAATTGAAAGTGTCTCGTGCTCCGCGTCAGAATCTGGTTTAAAAGATTTAGATAAAAGTTTACAAGAAAACAAGGCATGGTTCGTCAATTTACTCGATATCCCACCTCAAGATCTTACTCATAAACAACGATTAGAACAGCAATGTAAGTTTTAGACTAGACTTGAACGGCGTACTTTATAGTAATCTAGAATTTCTGTCTGAGGCTTTCATAATTTTTTTTTTTTTTTTTTTATTCCTGAAAACTTTGATCTCGTATCAGACTCTGCGATCATAGATCAAAAAGATCACAAGCTCTCACGATCTTTTGTTATTGAGGCACTTTCAATATCGGATTTTTTAAAGACAGATGAATTTTTTGCAGCAACTCTTCTCCACCATGGGACAAAACAACGTGCCAAATTTAATCGGCCATCGGCCGAAACTGCAATTTTACTATTTCTTAAAGAACGTGGTGATCTGTTGGCATGTTTATCAACACTCATAGGAAGTGCTTATAATCCTGATACAAAGTTACATGTGAGAAAGTCATTCGCTGACTATATCAATAGTTTGTTTAATGCTTTATCGCCTAAAGATGGTTCATTTGCACGCAAAATCATGACAACAATTCAGAAATTAAAAACAGAGATAACAGAGCTTGATGGCCGTTTAAAACTATTGCATAGACAGCCTCAAACTCTGATTAGTGCAGAGCAAAATCTACGTCGGGAGATATCGAATTATGTGATATGTTGTGTGATTTATATGAATTCTACGGCGTTATGTGAAACACATAAAATCACTGTCCCTTTAAACTTGAATTTAATAAACTGATATAAATATTATGCCTTCACTTCCTCATTTTCCTCACTTTCCTCACTTTCCGTTTAAAATGAACACAGAAAGTATTTCTATTTTTACTATATCAAATACATGTAATGACAGAAATTTCAATTTAGTGCACGTGAATTTGATCTAAGTCGCGTAACGTTAAACGTTTAAAAGTTGAAAGTATGCACCCATTTCTTTACACTTAGCGGCTAGTCAATATGGCAGATAATAATTTACCACAAAGTAAAAACAGAATTATTTCATCAAAATTATTTGCATTTTTCAAGTAACCTTATATCATTCATTAATAGCGA